ATCCACAAGACTTCCCACCTATCCTATCGTGATCTACAGGTAAAATAAGGTATAAACACACCCTTTTCATATAGCCATGCAGACTGAAACGGTAGGTACATGAACATTCATTTTGCAGAATTTCCATGGATCGTATTTTCGATTATGTCTTGATTTAATCCCTACTGACCATACCTTTGAGTTCCAATGGATGTTTAGAGCAGGTCTGGGCTATCGCTTGGGATTTTTCATGGCCAAAACGTGAACCTCCATGGCTAGGGTTCAGATTATGTGGAGTTTCGTTTTGATGAAAATAGGCAACATTAAACCATGAAAACATCACCATGAGAATCGCCATGCCTTAATCATTTGATCTGGCTATTTTGTTCGCTTTGATTTCGTCGTTTTCGCAGGTTTTCAGAATCGCCCTCGCCGGAGAAGACGACCGGAGCACTGCTCCGGCGTCGTTGACTTGGCTTGGTTCAGTTGACGCAGGCGTGGCATTTTCTTGTGTTTTAATTGGCCATTCAAGTTGTTGATTCATTTACTTAATGCTGACTGGGCTAGTGGATTCCATGTGCTTCCATTTTTAATCCATACCATGCACTTATGAGATCTAGCCGTCAGATTGCATCCTGATCCAAATCCAACGCCTCACGTGCATCCCTCCATTGTGGACATTAGTCAAGGCAGGCATATGGGATTAGAGAAAGTCAAAGGAGGCCTCCAGGGTTTGGGCCTAGCTTTGCCATCCACACCCCCCTTTTGCTACAAAAAACAGGCCCATTTCCTTTTTCCCTTGAATTTATTTTCTTTTCTATTTTATTTTAATTTATTTAATTTGCTTTTTATTAACAAAAATTAATTTTTCTTTTTATTTCAAAAAATCATAAAAATATTCTTACCCAAATAAATTTTAGATTTTCCTTTTTTTTCTAAATTTAATTAATTAATTAGGTTTTTTTTTATTCTAGGAAACTCTAAATTATTTTGCAATATTAAAATTGATTAGACTTAATTAGGTTATAAATACTAATTTAATTAGTTTTATTTCTTAAAATAATAAAAAATCAGATATCATTAAAAATAAAAATATTTTTATTTAATTTATTAATAGTTTTCTTTTTGTAAATGCTTATAATTAAATAATTAAGTAAATTAGTTCAAAACTTGGATTTATTTCTTTAATAATTAAAAATACTTAGAATTAGGATTTTAATTCCAATTAATTTTCTTCATTTCTATAAAAAATACAAAAAAAATAAAAAAATAAGTTCTTTCCTTTATTTTAATTTAATTAACTTATAATTTCGATTTAATTCCTTTAAAGGGTCCAACGCCCTCGCTTTCGCTTCTATTTTCTTTTCGCGCGTTTATTTACATTTTTCTTTTAAATATCATGTAATGTATTTGCCCCAAAGCCCTGTAATAGTTAATTAGGCATTTATTTTCTGCATTTTATTTAAAATCGGGTCTTTGTTTAATTTGGCGATGTAGACCCGCGCCTTGTAATAGCGTAGGACCTTTATTTTTCCGCATTTTAATTTCCGCACCCTTTAAACTGTTAATCACATGAAAGAATGTATGCCCAAAAATAAAATCAAAATATAGATCACCAATGCATGACAAGACAAATAATAAACTGAAAATGACACACAATTCACACACCACTCTTAGGGTACGCCTCAATGTTGCCTTGCCCCTCGAAAAGTGGTCATCGAGTATAGGACGTCTTAGTAAGTCCTTATGTCCATGAACATGGCATAAGGGTAGCTTCTAAGGTATCCTACTGTTGCTCTGGTGATCACACTGTTGCCTTGCCCCTCGAAACATGGTCGTCGAGTACAGGACGTCTTAGTGAGTCCTTATGTTCCATTGATCTAGTTGCCTCGAATAAGTTGCCTCGGAACGGTCGCCTCGGAATAAAAAGATCAATGGCATAAGGGTAGCTTCTAAGGTATCTTACTATTGCTCGGTGACCACACTGTCCCTAACCCTCGAATTGACCCGAACACCTCCAACGGTGGTGCTACCTACCTCTCAATGGTGGGATAGCACTACCTAAAGGACATTTACACAGACTAATTCCTTAGGGTAGGTAGATGACTCGTAGATACTTGCTCTAATTCAAAACAAATCAAAAAAACTTCTTTTCACACCGACACTTTGCAAAAAGCTTTCAAAAAACAATTTTTCAAACACTCTTGAGGACTGATACAAGAGTCGATCTGAAACTTTCAAAGAAACTTTTTCAAACCCACTCACCTTGAAAAGCAAACAAACATTTTGAAAACACAAATGAGCAAGTATCTAAGAGCCCATGGATAACCATGGATAGAAAGGGTGCTAACACCTTCCCTTTCTATAAATCTACCTCCCAAACCGAGAACTAATCTCAATAAGGAATTTTTCTGTGCTTTTGTCCTTTCCATTTGGAGAAAATAAAAGACGGTGGCGACTCTTGCTTACCGCGAAATTTCGCGAAACCAGCTAAAAAACAGTCAGTTCCAGATCCACCGATCACAGTGTGGAACCTTATTTTGTAGGTGATATGATTTAACAAGAACATCTATTTTTGATGATGATAACTAATGTACTATGATTAGTCAAGAATGAATAATTAAGAGGATAAAGAGATAATCGATTATTTTAACCATCTAATTGAATATGAATAAGCTTTAATTGACTAGATTGCTTTAAAACTCATTAAATTGAAATTCCTTTTTAAGCCAACCTCGGACTTATAAATAGAGGTTCCATTTATCATTCCAAACCATCCATAATCGTATTTTGACACTTTCATTCATCTCTCTTTCTCCCTCTCTAAACTTGTTTTTAACTTTCTCTTACTAATGTTTTAGCCTTAGTGCTTTTGTGAGAAAATTCCTTTTGTGAGTGAGGATACTTTTGTAATTATGAAAAGGGTAGAATTGTAAATTCACCAAGGGACTCTTTTGTATACACCTTGGTTTAATAATATCCATTTAGGGTTTTGTTTTAGTTAGAAGCTAAACCCATAAGAAGCTTGTGTTTGTGATTGTGTGATTCAGTCCTAGTTTAGGTTAGAGATCAACTGGTGTTAAAAATCTTATGGGTTCTTGATCAACCGTGTATTAAAACCAAGATAGATAAAATCTCAACCCGATATTAAAAGCTTCACATGTTCGAAATCAGGCCGGTGTAAAAATCTCACAAGTTATTGGTTATCCCGTTTAAAACCAAGGTTTTAAGCTCAGAGGTTTTGAAACTTATAGACTAACACCTACAAGGTTTGTGTTTCAGGAAAGAAGACTAACCACTTAAATCCACCATTAGAAAAAAAGATTGGTCACTTCACTCTTAAATTTATTTTGAAGAAAAGACACAAATACTCATATCTATTATCTTGTATATTTAGTTGAAGATCAACCGTAATATCCTTGAGATCAACTAAACAAATTCTTAAAATTAGAATTATGAATGACATAAGTAGTAAGAAACTTTGGATGTTACCAAAATATTATATCAAAAGAGAGTTGTATAGATTTCATATGGAAAGTTTTAAGACGGTAAAACTCTTCTTACTACTCATTTTAAGTTGAGTTCTAATCAAATTCTTTCAAGTGAAGAAGAAATATTTGATATGAAATGTGTTCCTTACTGTTGTTGGAAGTTTGATGTCTGTAATGGTGTGTTCTAGATTATATATAACACATGTTGTTGGTATCGTCAATATACTTTTGTCAAATTTAGGTAGAGAACATTGAAATTTTGTAAAATGGTTTTTAAGGTAACATGACAATACTACTTATATGAGGCTTTTCTTTGGGGGAGCAAACTTACTCTAAAGGGGTACTCTGACTAATATATGACTGGATACATTGATTCTAGAAAGTCTACTTTGGGCTACATAATTAAATTTGAAAGATGAGTTGTAGCTTTACAATCTAAATTGCAAAAGTATGTAGCATTGTCTACTATGGAGGCAAGGTTCAGTGTCATTACTGAAGCATGCAAAGAGATTTTATGGTTGAATAAATCTTTACATGGGTTTGGATTTGTTCAAGACAAATATGTGTTTTTTATAGTCAAAGTACTATTTATCTTCGTAAAAATTTGACATTTCATAATAGGTCTAAACACATTGAATTGAGGTATCATTAAATACATGATGTTTTGGATGCTAAATTGTTGGAGTTAACTAAAGTTCATACTGATGATAATGGTTCAGATGTGATGACTAAAACTTTATCAAAAAAGAAATTTGAAGCTTGTTGTGATATCACTGATTTGGTCATTTCCTCTACATAATTGTGTTGGGGAGATTTGTTGAGTTTGGGCTCCCTTTTTATTTGGAGAAATGCCCAATTATATTAGCCCATTTGTGTCTCACTTATCTTAAGCATGAAAGGTCTATTCAATATTGAGAAAGAGTGTGTGTGTGTGTGTGTGTGTGCGTGAGAGAGAGAGAGAGAGAGAGAGAGAGAGAGAGAGAAATATTCTAAAAAGAAAGAAAAGAAGGAACCAATTCTCGTTTTCTTGCAAAAAAATCTTAGTAAAACAACTATTCCTAATTCATTAACCGTTGGATCAGAGTCATTTTAGATGATAGGGTTGCAATACTTGTGTCTACCTAAGCTAGATTGGATGTTGTTAGCACTAATTTCTAAATTACTTTGAGACTCTCTTATATCCTTGTTTAATTATAGTAGAATTATTTCTTTGCAATGTACGACTCATGATTTTTTTACTCTCAAATTAAGGGTTTTCCATGTTAAAATGTCACTATTCTCTTGTGGTTTTATTTATTTTATTTGTTGCCATATATATGTTGTTGATCATTTATAAGTATTGTGTGATCATTTTCCATCATACTTTGGTGAAATATTTGATGAGAGACGACAAATTAAATTTAATCGGTTAGAAAGAAGAAAAAAAACAGTAGATGTATTTTATCAAATTCCATGAAGCTCTTAAGTTAGCAGATAACATGGACATTAAGATTCTGTCTTCCTTATACACTCAAGATATAGTAGCAATCTTTAATATATTTGATAATAGAATGAATAGGGTTGAAAGGAGTTTAGAGGAATAGACACATTTGTTGGCTCTTCCTTCTTCTCTTCTAGAGATCCAACATAAACTATTTCAATATGACACAATTTTCTTAGCTTGGATACTGCCTTTACCGGATCAATATCTCCTAATAATGTCAATTTCTTTTCATTCATGTCCATTGATATTGATTCAACCCCTGCAAAATCATTGAATCATTCAATCTTTGATTATAAAAATAATAACTTATATAGTAAATATATGATATGAAATTTCAATACCTGAAAGACTAGATGATGTTTTCATAACTTTTTGCTTGATTTTGTCATTATTAAAGTCCACCTTCAATACTATTTTCTGTTAAAATAAATAAATAAGGATTAATTAAGGATATAGTAAGAAACCACAAGATTAGAGTAAATTAAATGAGAAAAGAGAGGAAATGGATTTCATGATTCTAGTTATTACCATTGTGAGAGCTAGTTAAGAATTGTTGGTTAGAATTGCAAACCAATGAAGTGGTGATGAAGTAAGAATGAGAGTTGTCAATTATTTATATAAAAAGCACAATGAAGTCAGTCAATTGAAATAATGTTGTTTTTTCTTTAAAAATATTATTTTAGAAGACTATTCTATTTTAATAACCGTGTGAACATTAAAGTTTGAATCATAACACCAAAGTTCACTAACAAGTCACAACACATAAAAGGAATCGGTCAAATGAGATGGAAGAAAAAAAAGACTTTTAATCTTAGTTTAAGTGAAGTGTTAGTTAAAAAGTTGTTAAATTCTTGCTTCGTGGCTGATTCTCCAACACGCCTTAGAACTCTTGTTTGTGAGGTAGGTGTAGTATAATACAATTGGTTAGTCTCACACAAAATTTAAGATAATTGTGACATCAAAAAGACTAGAATGGGAAAAAGAAATTTATTTGAATTTTTTTATTACAATGATTCCTTTTCCAACTTAATACTCAAATTAGCTCAATTTTTAACATGAGTTTGAAAATATTTCACTTCCACATGTTAAAAAAATCTTCGGAAATCACGTTCAATTTCTTAGAATTAATTTAGATTTAATTAGATATTAGTTTATGTTTAGAAATATCTTTTAGATTGTTTATATCTTTGTTAGAAGATATAAATCTTAGATCTTCTTATATCTTTGTAGAAGATATATTTTAGATTTAATTTGTGTGTATAAATAATCTAGTGGAGTAGGTTATTGTAATTAATTGTAAATCCTTATTTTGAAGCTATCAGTAAATATTCCTTTTGCCTCTTATCTTTCTTGTGCTCCAACAATTGGTATCTAGAGCTCCTGGTTAGAAACTCTGGAATTTGGGAAACATTGTTTTTTCATTGAGTTTCTGCGTAAATTGCACAAGGTAGAAGATTAACGGAAATGACGATATTCATTCCAAGCTTCTAGTATTTGATGGCAAAAACTGGAATCGTTGGAAGATCCAGATGCGCGTGTTATTTGGTTCTCAAGATGTGTTAGATCTTGTCACTGATGGCTATAATCTGTTGGAAGCAGACGCAACAGAGGCCCAAAAGATAGCATAGAAGGCGCTGAGGAAGAAAGATCAGAAAATGTTGTTCTACATCCATCAATGTGTGGATGTGAATGTGTTTGAGAAGATTGCTGATTCTGAAACAACAAAGGTTGCGTGGGACACACTAGTCAGATGTTACGGTGGTGACGCATCAGTGAAGAAGGTGAAGCTTCAGTCTCTCATAAAGCAATATGAGAATCTCAACATGAAGGACAACGAGAAGGTTTCTGAATACATCTCTAGAGTGATTCTGATCACTAATGAGATGAAAGCTTGTGGAGAAACTCTGTCTGAACAAGTAATTATTGAGAAGATCTTGAGATCTTTAAATTCTCAATTTGATTACATTGTTGTAGCAATTGAACATTCCAAAGATCTGAGCACCATGAGAGTTGAAGAGCTGCAAAGTAGTCTAGAGGCACATGAGTTACGTATGACTGCAAGAACTTCTGAGAGGGAAGTAGAGCAGCAGGCTCTAAAGGTAACTTCTGGTAAGAATCACCAGAAGCTGACTTGGTCAGAAGCTAGGAAGAAAACTAATGGTGGTCAAAGGTAAGAAGCTTCAAACTCTGATAGGCAGAAGAATGTCCAGGGGGGAAAGGAGAAGTCTGACAAGAAGAATGTCTAGTGTTACTGTTGCAGGAACTTTGGTCACTATGCCATAGATTGCTGGTCCAACAAAGAAAAGAAGTCAGAAGAAGCAAATATAGCAAGAGGAGATTCAGATGATGAACCTGTTTTATTTATGGCTTATGAATCTGATGAGGAACTAGTGAAATTATCATTTTCTGATTCTGAAGGGGAAGAAGAATATGACTCTGAATATTCTGATTCTGAAGGAGTGATTTTGTATGAGTCAGAATCAGAATATGACTCTGAGTTAGAATCAGATGAAGACTTTGAAGATTTTGAAGATGAGTCAGAATATGGGATTTCTGAAGACGAGTTAGAGTCAAAAGATGACTCTGAAGCTGAAGACAAGTCAGAATTCGATGGTGATTCTGAGTCTGAAGAAGATTCTGCTTCTGAGGAAGAGTCAGAAGATGATGACTCTGGAAACTCTGAAGGTGAGTCAGATGGTGAATCTGATTCTCATCCATATTTTGATAATGATCCAAAATTTGGTGGTGATCATGCTTCTAGAAGGAAAATCCAATATCTAGATTTTGGTCCATGCTATTTACACCCTCCTATTTTACTACCTCAACTATATTTACACCCCCACGTTTTATTTTATTTTCTTTATTATTTTATTATAATTATTTTTTATATTTCTTATTTTAATATATTTAATATATTTAATACTATTATATTATTATTATTATCATAAAACCAGATATATTATTTTCCAACCCATAAAAAATATTATTTATTTTATTTGCATAAAATTATCTTTTAATCATGCATTTTATATAAGGTATTTTTTTTATAATTATTACATAAAATATACAAACCAACTGTGAACTACGAATTGAGACTCTGATTCCTTTTAAGAGGATACGTAGGCATACGATTAAAATCGTGGCGAGTTCCCCTAATAAAAATTAAAACCATATTTCCTAAAATCGTGCTTCTAACCCTAGTATTATGAACAAGGTAGATGAGGGGGTCCCTAACACCTTTCCTTCATCTAGAACTGGGTCCAAAATACCTAGATTCCCTAAATTTTAGGGTTATCCTTTATATTCTCTTCCTTAGGATAAAAATTAAGAGTGACGACTCTGATTTAAAAACCAGTTGCAACACCTGGCGACTCTACTGGGGACTCAACCCTGAGTTTAGAAGCCTTGTCTTTTGGTTTTAGGTTTTTATTTTTATTTTTGGGTTTTTATATTTGTTTATTTAATTATTTATTTTTGCTTGTTATATTATTCATTATGTTTATTCATATGTGGTGGGATTTAATCATTTAAAAAAAATATTTTCAAAAACACTTACAAAGAAGGTTCGTCTATTATCCAAGGGGTTACATCAGCCCTATGAGTTTATGTGACGACCTCATCTAGAGTCGGTGGAATTCATCAAAAGGAATACCTCTCGAGAGATATCCTCTTAGGAAGCAGGACTTCTGAATGACACTTATGACTCTTTGTACGACCTTTAAACCAAAAACTCATGATGAGACCTTTTATGCCCTAGAGACGAAAGTTTCAGTGTGTAAAGAGACTTCGCTTAAGGGAGGCCCTTATGCCTTTCCCTCTAGTGTTATTCATGATACCCTTAAGGAAGCCACCTTATGGGGAGGATAGAATATTCGTAGGCCAAAACTAGGAATCTTCCTTCTAAGGATACCTTTCACAAATCCCACTGTAATCTGTAAACTCGCAAGGGTTATCTTTTCTTCTACCACTGTCTCTAGCCCGTAGGGCTTCCATCTATATCGCAATCCCTAGCTTGTAGGGATTTCTCGTCGTCTTTCATTTGGCCATAATCCTTGGGGAATTCCTGCCTGTCTCAATCTCTGAGACAATATAGGATGTCATCAAATCCATGTCTATCATTATCTTCGTCCTTAAGGATTTTTTGCTTGTCTCAATCTTTGAGTCAGTGTAGGATATCATGATATTTATCATTAAACTTGTATAGGGTACCCCTACGTCTACCATCATACTACGTCTATACCGCATTGCATATCCATAAAACTTTTTTGTGTACCTAGAAGCCAAAAATATATATTTTTGCACACCCAAGAATTTTCATACATTTTCATTCTCATCCATTTGCGCAAAGTTCATATCATTTACACTTCCATCCTTATCCAACTGTGGTCCAGCTAGCAAGATTCTCGATACTCATAAGAAAACTCAAAGCATATCTCAAGAAGCCATGGAGGAACTCAAAATAAGCCAAGAACTGTTGAAGAAGAAGGTCCACCAGTTGAAGACTCAAATGAACTTGATCATGCAATTATTACTGAGGAGTGAAGCTAACCCTTCGTTATCCTAGCTGCATGCTTATTCAGCACCACAGATGCCACCACCATAGGAAGTTCCCCCACCTCAACAGTAACTACGAAAACCCTATCAATGTAGGGATATTCCCAACAAAGGGGAAGACAAAAACTACCACCAAGGAGATTTGATCCACTTTCCATATTACAAAGTCAGCTACTACAACATTTACTAAAAGCATCTTTGGTAGAATGGAAGTCACTGAATCCTCTGAATGGGACACTCCCACCTAAGTATGATGCAAATGCCAAGTGCGAGTATCATGCTAACTCTCCTGGACATACCCTTAAAAGATGTTGGAGTTTCAGACACATGGTCCAATATTTAATCGACAATAAGCAGTTGACTTTTGAAGAAGGGAGCCCATTGGTGAATGGTCGCCCCTTGCTCTGAAAAATCCAAAGACTAAGAAGAATCCCCTAAGGTCAGTTGATCAACAAGGGGGCTTATCTCTAGATCATTAGGACTTTATTATTTCAATTTGTAATGTCCTAGTCGTTAATTTTCATTTGCTATAAATTTGTATCTTTGGATCAGTAATTCTAATAAAATAATCATGCATGTTTTTTGAAATCTATCCATTCCACAAGTAATCAACAACTTTCTATTCTTATTTTCTATCTTCCATTACATAACTTTAATAAACTTTGCTGGAGAATGATAAAAATACAAAATAATCAAATTTTGCTGACGTATGCTTTTTAATAGTAAGACCAAGCTGATGATGTAAGACATTATTTCACTTCTTAAACTGTGGAGAAATAAGGAGTTAACCTGTAGTTAACCCCCTCGAGCCAGAAGTCAGAGTTCTTTCTATTTTCTAAAAAACCCTTAATATTAACTAGGGGCAGGGTAGATTTCAGTTAATTCGATGATGCATTCAAATCCCAGGAGAATCGAAACGATCTAAGAAAAAGTTCAAGCATATCTCTTTCCTCTATACATCATGGAGAGAACGATCT